ACATGACATTTTAACATGGCCTTAAATTCATTCAATGGGACTAAATCATTTAAATGGAGCAAGTTTTGCAAATTATTCCAGGAACATGGCACAATCTTTATTTGTTGCGACAGCTGGAAACTATGACAACAAATCCCATAATGGTCTGCGAGGAGACCTTTCGCAAAGCATTATGGGATATATCTTCTCGGCCGTTTCTCAATATGTGTACTTGTGCGTTCTCATGTACACTAAAAACGTCATCATCCTCAGCCCTAGTACTGTTCCAATTCACAAGAAGACAGAGAACGGACAGAGTCCTCGGATGTTTTTCTCACGCCTCCCTCTTTACCCAGCATGCATCAGAGCAGACTTGTCCATTCTTGAGATTGACAGCTGTCCCAGCATGCACTGCAGCAGCAGCAGTGAAGCGCGTACAGACCTCAGGGTATCGACTTAAAAGTTATCTTTTCTGTAGCCGTTCTATAAAAGCACATTTTAAGATTATTTGAAGTGAGAAGATTTTACTTTTAAGCGTCTCTATATGGCCAGTTTACTGATTTAGTTAGTAATTTAAAAAGAAATGAGAGGACCGTGGCGACCATCGGACCTCCAAGGCTGACCGCAGGCATGGTTCATTTTAGCCCGTCTGCAGCAGGCCTCTCTCAGCGTAGCCGTGTGTGATTTACCGCTGCTATGATGGCGATTTTTTGGTTTTATTTGGCAAAATGTTCATTTAATCTGTGTTTATCTGGGCTCATTCTTAGTTCCATGCTAAATGAAAAAAGCAAGAATTAATTATTATCTAGAGACTATTAATAACAGGAGGTGAAACGCAGCTCCAGATGAGCCGAGCGTGTGGTGACGTCATCAGTACGCTTCTGTTCCAGTTGACCCATATTTATGCTGCATGCTCCTGTTCTCCCCGAGTCCACACTTTACTGTCTTCTTCTCAAGAACATACTTACGTACGCATATAGGGCTGCAACTAACGATTATTTTAAAAATCGATGAATCGGGCGATTATTTTTTCGATTAACCGATGAATCGGACAAGAAACATTTTTTATATTGACCTCTT